ACAATTCGGAGAGAGCGATGCCGGCGAGAGCGGAATAGTAATAACCGGTTAATGGATACCGATTGGTTTCACAGTTCCACTAATTAATACGAGCAGAGGATTACGTGGATTACAGATCGCGACGGTCTGTTCTGGCCGCAGAGTCGCTCCGCTCTCGCGGAAAATTCGCCGGGCGAAACTTCAATCCGCGTACGGCTTTATCTTTGATTCACGCGTCGCGATAAATATTTTTCGGGCGGCAGAGAGAGGAAAAAAAAGAAGCGTATCAGGCGCGCGACGATGGAATACGCAAAACGAGCGTTTTCCGCGTACGCGCTCGGGAAAGGACAAGGCGAGCTCTCGTCAGGTCTCGCCGCTCGTCAGGTGGGTGGAAAATAGAGCTTGCATTATTAACGGAGCACTATGCCGGAATTCGAGGATCAGCGAGGCAGAAGAGAGGAGAAAAAGCGTGAGGGAGGGAAGGAGAAAGAAATAGCGCGGGCATGGCAAAGGGAGGAAGAGCGGCGAAACGCGGGTTCTCCTCGTCTGAGAGTGGACGAGAGTGGAAGCCATCCTCTTTTCCGTAGAGCCGAGCCCACCCCGCCGCCACCGCCGCCGCCGCCGCCACACCGTCCGTCGTGTTCTGCCGTCCCTATGACCAGTCCTGAATTCAACCCTTCTCCGGCCTCCCCCCGGTGGTGGTACATCGCCACCGGTTTCATCAGCTCGCGATTAATTTTAATCTAAAACCACCCGCAAAGCCTCTGGCCCGCGCTCAGCTCGCAGGCTGAGGTCAACCCCTTTCGCCACCCCCTGGCGCCGCGCATTCTCTCTCTCTCTCTCTCTCTCTCTCTCTCTCTCTCTCTCTCGCGCGCGCGCGCGCTTGCTCGCTCGCTCGCTCGCTCGCTCTCCGCTTTTCGAGAGAGTGCCAGATTGGCCCCAGAGCTTTCGGCTCCCTTCCGATTCCCCGTCCGAGATTCGTCCTACGTTCGCCCTACGTTCGCCGAAACGCGTATGACCTTCCATCGAGCTTCTCCGCCGACACATCTCGTTGCATATTATATAAGTTCGAGCTTGCGGAAGCTTATTAATGCCAATGAAGAAAAAGCAGATGATCCGGTGCTTCGTAATAGCGCGACGCGACTTCTCGTTATTCCCTGGTATCGCTTGGTAACAAACTTACAATTAGCGATCGTCAAACGCATGTTACGCGTACCTATATTGTTCTTCTTTCTACGTCGATTTGAATTAAATTCACGCGGCTTTGTCCGCGAGAGAAAATTGGAAAAATCGCGTCGTCCGGCGGATGGGGTCATCGGCGCATCGCTTCCTCACGCTTTTCGGCATCGTTTTCGATAGCCACCGTCGGATGCAGCGTCCCGACGTCGCTGCAGCCAACGTTATCGGCGCTCTCCTCGATCGCGCGCGCGGCTTCTCAATTTTTCAATATTCCCCGTGCGCGACTTGGAGCGTAACCGGATTACGGCCCGAGAATGGCTCTTTCGGTATCGCGACGTCGATGGGGGTTGGCGGCGGCCCCCGAGAACGAGAGAGGGAAAGAGAGAGAGGAGCGCGGCCCGATTAATATACATATCGCGCGAGCTCTCGGCTTTCGATATTTCAGGGGGCACCATCGCGCACGGGTTCCAGCCCCCGGTGGGCTTTGAATATCCACCAATTTCCTGCCGATATTTGTGTGACGAGAGCGCTTCAACCGGCCCGGCGCGTGAGTGCAATCGGTAATACGGAACGCGCTTTTTGTCCTCTCGAGAATTTCTTCCTCGGCTCTCCCTCCCCTCGTCCGTCCGCTTTCCCCGCGGGGGAAAAAAAACGCCCGCGGATAATCCGGCGCTTTTCTCGCGTCTCTCCGCGTCGCGACGCCTTCGTCTTGCAAGCGCGATTGCAGAAAGTTACGCCGAAGCGTAAATTCCCTCTCCGCAGATTTGATCCGCATATCGATATTACTTTTCATTTATTTATCGTATCGCAGGAATAAAACTTGTCACGTACCAGGATCGGATTATAGATATAACCGAACGTCGAACAACCGGCATCTTCATTTTTCTTTCGGGGAACTGCGAGCAGAGTTAAAGAACCGATAGAAGACATTATTAAAATTGGAATAAGTCCATACCTATTTTAATATTGGAAGTACGCAGTTGAAAAATTTGTGTTAGATTTAACAGATATCACATGTCCCAAACGGTCCACACACATTTTTGTGTTAATTTAACATAATGTGGATATGTTAAATGATCACACTAATACTCTGTTAATATTTTAACACAAAATAAATGCAAATCTCAAAATATTTGAAATAAATTTTGTGAAAAATCAACATATTTTTTTTATGACAAAATGAATTTAAAAAGTGTAAGTTTCACATTTTAGAAATGTAATAAGTCAAATGACGGTTTGAAATCACTCTCACTTACGTTATATAGAATAAAATCGACATTTTATTCTGTCAATTTTATGTATTGTGTCAGATTAAAAAATAAGTACACATTGTGTTGTTTCAACATTTCTTTTCAGCTATTTTAATAATTTTACATTTGAGGTCAATTAACACAAGAGCAATATGTTAAATTAACGCATAAATGTGTTAAACATTTAACACAAAAATTTTAACCGGCATTTCTTTTACCAAGAGAACACAAATTTTCCAACTGTGTATGAATCGTGTCCCTCCCTGGATGAAATCCTGCGAACGCCGTCGAGCGTAATAACTAAGGGATATACAGATCACTAGCGCTAAATGGCGTGTCGTGTACGGAGTTGCCGTAAGGGAAAAAACCGACGTGTTCGATCTAATCTAGCACGATGGAATTATCGCGACACGGACGATAAAGGATCACGCGTCTTCTTACAGCGAGCAGCCTAATTTATCCCCAACGCCAACAGCAACAGTACGGGAACGTGGCGAGGGATCACAGGGGTTCGTCGCCGCCGTCCAGTCGTCCGGCCAGCGCTTCCTCCTCGACCTCCCAGTGGCAGTCGACCTTCTCCGTTTCCTCCGAGACCTTCCTGCCGCGACAGGAGAATTGGAGTTCCGAGGCTTACGCGAAGAGAAGCGTCACGCCGACCTGGACGGAGCTCGGCACGCAGATAGATCCCAGGAACTCATCCTGGGACCGGCAGAACGGCTATTACCAGAAGAAGGGCTCGCCCGTCTCGACCTGGAACCCGGATCACATCAACAAGAGGCCGTCGTCGGCGACCGGCGTGTCCGCGTGGAGCGACGTCGCCGTCGGCTATCAGCAGCAGCGACGTGGCTCCCTGCAACTGTGGCAGTTCCTCGTAGCCTTGCTCGACGACCCCGCGAACGCGCCTTGCATCGCGTGGACCGGACGCGGGATGGAATTCAAGCTAATCGAGCCGGAAGAGGTTCGTAGAGAGCGCTCTCGAGACAAGTTTCATTCTAAAGATGCGTTGAAATGATATGTTACAAACAGCTATAGCTTCTTTCGGGCATGCACTCGTTACACGTTTCCGTTGGCAGGTGGCACGAAGATGGGGCGTCCAGAAAAACAGGCCGGCTATGAATTACGACAAGCTGAGTCGCTCGCTGAGATACTACTATGAGAAAGGCATAATGCAGAAGGTCGCCGGCGAGCGATACGTGTACAAGTTCGTCTGCGACCCGGATGCGCTCTTCAACATGGCGTACGGCACCGGCGCGTCTTCGGGGATTAGCGGAGAAGTTCCAAGCGGTATGGTACGGAGCCATGCGGTGCCCGGGAAAGGAGCGGGCGGGAACGAAGTTCCAGATTTGATGAAGCATCCCGCCGCGGGGTATAGCGACGCGGTTTTCGCCATGTACTCGAATACCGCCGCAGGTATTAGACTTGGTCGACGTTAATTATTTCGCATATTGAAATTCGCATTTTACGATTGCGTTCACGAAGCGCGCGCGTTCACGGAGAAGTGTATACTTGAAATTAAAAACCCATTCCAGTGTACGGCCCTTCCAGTCTCCATCATTTGCATCAGTACCTCGGCGGCAACGACGGTTTCAAAACGCCATCGAGCAGATATCATCCCCATTATACCCAGTACGGCAGCAATCACCACCATCATCATCACCATCATCATCATTCGACTCCGAGCTACACCGAGACCTTCCTGAACTACAGTCGACTGTCTGCCCACGAGACCGCGTTCGATTCGAAGGCGCAGGAACCGCCACCGAGGGACTCGTATACCCAGGAAACGGAGAGTACCAGCAGAGACCGGGAGGCCGCGTCGATACCCTATGACAGCGTGCAGAGAACGCAATTACCGGCCCCGGCCGTGCCGTCGCAGTCCTCGATACTGGACGGCGCGGCGAGCTCGAAGCTCGAGCAGGCACCGTACACGTGTTTAGGCGTTGGGAGCTGCGTCTGTTAAATAAATGTGATCGAATCTGTTGTTTGCATCTTATTCGAAGGGGGGAAAATCTCCTATCGATTATGCTTGACGATCCTCGAAGCGGAGCGCCCGCAGCTCCGAGTCGTCTGGACGCACACATGGTATTTGTAAATAGCACTTATTTTTCCGCGCTGATTTATCAGACTTCCTGGAGATAGGCTAATAAAATTTGTTTGCGAATTTCTCCGATTCGCGTCGATGCGTTATCTCCGATCGTTACTCTGTGCGCGTGTTCTATATAGTAGTTTATCGCGGTTGTAATTTATTTTATAAATATTAAATAAATCTTATCGATAGGACGATTATTAAAAATACAATGTATGACTCGTACCTTTTTATACTCGCAGCTCGTCGAGCATAAATTGTAGTAATTCGACTTTGACACAGCATGATTATTCCAAGTCTGTTCCACCAAGAGCGAGAGATAACGAATAAAAGTATAAAATGCGCGGATGTGCGGTCTCGAGGAGATTTACATCGCGCCTTGCGAAACGGGGGCTCGTAATCCCGAAGAAATCGACAAGTATTAAGTCATAGGATGGGATCATCCTCTCGGTCGCGTCCTCGACGACGCGCATGTGATGTAAGATGTAAGTGCGCGATCGCCCGTGTATTTCGGGCTCTGACACATGTGAACCGAGCGTGCTTATATCGACCTCTCGCTTTCCCTCGCTCACTTCGCCGGCCGTCCTTCCTTAACGCGCGACCAAGTTTCGCTGACGAGTATAACCGGTGACTTAAGTCGGCTCGCAGTCACCGTCAGCCTTGCGACTCAAAAACCACTTAGGACACTCGGCGAGTTAGATTAGAAGTTACATCCGAGATTCGTGCGGGTGATCTCGATTAATTAGTACGTAGCCGAAGACAGTGCTGTGCGATTAAGCGGCGTTAAAGTTTGGTCGGTAAGTATCTCTGTTGAAATTCTCAGTTTTCCATCAGTGTCTCGTTAATTTCAACATAAGTGTCGACTATGTATTTCGCTAATTTTATGTATATCCTTGAATATCGTCGCTGAAGCATTCATCAGAGACGGTACACACGAGACAGCATGGTCGAGTTTATAAAAAAGATTTGCTCTCGTGAAATTTTAATAATAAAATCGAGCGTCGCGCATCTCGCGGCCGGGATGTCGCGTTTACGTGCGGCGATTGCCAAATATAACGATTGAACCATCGGTCCCGCGGTCGGTATTGATCCTTGCCGTGTAGCCTCCATAATTCCGAGGACTACGTCAACGATAAAACTGACATACGCGTTTCGCATTCTGATTGACTGTCTCTCCGCCTCCGGGCGCATCCTCTCCTGATGATTGGCTGCGCCGCTCCGAATCGATTGCTCCGTGTCAGTTTCCCGAAACTAACTTTGAGCGATGTCAAACGCCGCTAACGCGTAATTCATCATTTCCACGTCTTTATTGAGTTCCAGCGGTGACAATCGGAAGCGATGAAGCGATTAGCAGTAAACGCCCGTAATCGCGTTACTCCGAAACCGGCTAACATTCGTGCCATCGCCGAATGGAGCATGTATTCTCCTATTTTCCGCATTTTTTTTCTCTTTATACGACAGTCGCGCACCGTCTTAATTAAGAACCGGAGTTTAGCTCAAGTTTCCTCTTTGCGCAGTAAAATGGTAAAGACCAAGTCCGGGGAGCAGGAGGAGGGAGGAGGCATAGGTTTCAAGGACAAGCAGAGAGCGTTGGACACGCTGAGGATCCTGGACGGCCGCGATATCAGTTATCAGTATCGTGTAATCACGAGCTTCGTCAGCCGCGCGAAGAGAACGCTCCAGATCACGCGGGACGCGGAGAAACTGGCGAATCTGCGCGACGCTCTCAAGATCTTCGAGGACTGGCTGGCGGATTATAAAGAGAATAACCGGGGGAAGGAGAACCTCGCGTATCTGCCGATCGAAACGATCAGCGCCTTCCGCAGCCTCGCCAAGAGGCACGGCGTGTGGGACGACGGGTTCTTCAGGTGAGACGGCACCGTCGCGCGAGGGCTCGGGGCGCTTTTCGGCAAGCTGATATCGATTTTCTCCGTTTAGGGCGTACGAGGACGAGAAGGGCGATTACAAGAGCCTGCGCGACGTGAGAGTTCCCGACGGAGACACCACATGGGACGTCGAGAGAAACAGGCGCCTGAAGGAGATCATCGGCAGGATCAGGGACGAGCACGTTCAGTGGTACGAGACGGACGCGGGCGATTTTCGGGGACTGCCGACGAAGGAGCACGCGCGATGCATCGCGCTCGGTTACAGTCCCGATCCCGCGAAGCTGAAAAAGCTGGCGGCCCAGGCGCGCGAGAAACTCGGCGAAGACGAGGACGACATGGACGTCGATGAGGAAGAAAGGGCCGCTAAACGAGCTCGCGATAGCTCGTCGAGCAGCGATGGCGACAGCGAGTCCGAGAGGAAGCGCGCGAAACGTTCGTCGGTCGCCGAGGAGAAGAGGCAGAACGAAAAGACGGAGAGCACGCTGGGTTTCAAAGACCGGGAGAAAGCCCTGCAAAGTATCAAATCCTTGGAGGGTAGAGACGTGTCGTATCAGTTCCACGCGATCAGCGGGCTGGTGAAGCGAGCCGAGAGGGTGATATCGTGCACGAAGGACGAGCGGAAGATCAACAACATGCGGGAGGCCGTCGAGATCTTCGAGAACTGGATCACCGACTACAACGTGAACGGCCGATCGAAAGAGAACTTCAATTATCTGACGATCGACATCGTGCGGGCCTTCGAACCTCTGGCCGAGCGATACGGCGTCGAAGACAACGGCTTCCTCAAGTGAGTAAAGAAAGAGTCGCGCGAAATTGAACTTTCTTGACGAGATATTTTCTTCTTGTGTATTTTATGTATTTGATACGTATTTGATTTCGCAGGGTCTACGAGGAGGTCGGCGGCGACTACAAGAAACTCAGGTCCGTCCGATTTCCGGAGTCGAACGTTACGTGGGACGTGAAAAGGAACGAACGTCTGCGGGAGCTGGTGGATCGCATAAAGGAGAAACACGTTCAAAGGTTCGACACGGACGCCGAATTCCGAGGTCTGCCCACCGCCGAGCACACCCGATGTATCATGTGGGGCTTCAGCCACGACGTCGCCAAGCTGAAGAAGCTCCTGCCCGCGTTGAGCAAGAAACTCGAGACCGAAGCCGCAAACTAATGTTGCGATTCAATAACTCTTGGATTGCCGTTTAAAAACAGACGCGCTTCCGCGATAACGCGTGCGCGTGCGTAACTAAAGCGAGGGGAAGGATAAAGAGAGACCGCTTCGCTGCGTGTTATTATATTTTATTCTGCGTTATATTGTATATACATATATATACATACATACATACATATTTTTACATGTTACGTTTTACTATGAAAAATGTTTTCTATCATACAAGCGTAGGAGAAATAAAAACGAGCATGGAGCATCGCGCGTTCTGAGGAATTCCTAATATTCCAGAGGGAAACAGTTAAATAAAAAATGTAATCCCTTTCTAATCTTCCCTTTCTAAAAAAAGAGATGTTACCAGTGCGACTGTCGTTAATGCCTGCGTTCGTTTTCTCCTACTGGGAGCATAAACTATACCGAAAGTCTATAATTTACGCGACGTGAACTATAGAGTTTCAGTATAGTTTCTGCTCCCGATGGGAGAAAACGAACGCAAGCTATATCGAACAGTTGAGGCCACTTTTTCGCGATGCCGATTTTCTCGAAGCGCGGTGTGCTTCACTTCTCTTTTAGATTCATTGTGAATGAAGATTTACAATTTAGAAATATACATTTGTATACACCAACTATTGAGGTAAAATCTCTAATCTTAGTAATTAGAATTTAAGCAACAACGATTTTTGTTTCGAAACATTTTCTCGATTGAACAGAATTAATCGTTAATTTAATCAATACCAATAAGTCCGCGGAATGATACACAAAACGTAGTAACAGTCACGGAACAAAGTAACGTAAAATATTAAGTACAGAATTTTCAATTTCGTAGCTGGCACAACGAATTCTCAACGTTTTTTTTTTTGTTGGTTTTCTCTCGGCGCGGTGACGTACGATGTTTTTGCGTGCCGTCGTGTACGTGAAGGTCGCCACGTTATCACTCGCTCGCCGAACATATGTGTGTACGTCAGCTGCACGAGAAGGGCGATAAATTAATTAAAAATAGCAGTTTAACAAGAGGATGCTTTTAAACGTGCAACATTTGCATATTATATTAATGACTTTGTGCTTCTTTGCGCACCTAAATAATGCACGAAGCAATGCAAATTGTGACTTTTTTCTGGCTAAAAGTACGTTTTCGAGCCGATAAATTATGGAAAGACGAACTCATATTTTACTTGTGGTGTCACTTGCGCAGGCTACGTGCGCACAAATAATTCAGTATTAAAAAAATGTTTAATATACAGAAGCGACATCGACACTCGGTCAATCCCCGTGGCGTGCGCGGTGGTCGATCACAGACCGACCGAGTGTCGCGTCCACGACCCGCGGTGGAATCCGGCAATTCTATCGCGGCGCGCGAGATTACGCCGCGATCGACCGGTCGGAGTTTTTTGACCGCCGCGGGCTCAATCGATAGTTTTTAACAGTCGCGGGCGCAGGGTGAGCCGCGGGCTCGGTTTTGAGGTTAGGGTTAGTGACTCGGTGACACCGCGGCGGACGCCAGGCGGCGAGTTTTCAGTGCGCGAGGGTTCGAGCGCGCCGCTAGCCTCGGTCAGTCGTCGGTGTCCGCGATTATCGTCCGCCGTCGCGAGGCGGACGGTGTCCGAAATACGCGGGCGCGAGGCGGATAATCGCCGCGATTCCGTGACGGATATCTGTTTATATCGGCGTTTCGCGAGGGCCGCGGGTGGCATCCGCCGCGCGCGTCTAAAAATAGAACGGTGGCTGCCGCGGCGGCGGTGACCTCCGCGTCGACGAGAGGAATTCCTCGCCCGCGCGCGAGCGGGGCAGGGGGTGTACCGCCCTCCCGGAATCCTGGAGACGAGACGCGCCGATGACACGAGGCCGGAGCGCGTGACGCGGCCTCCCGTCCGCTCCCCATTGCCGTCTCTCTCTCTTTCTCGGAGCGTCGTGAATTGCCGCGACGCGCGCTCGACCGTCCGATCTCGCGATCGGCCCGATCGAGGGGGGGATAGGGTCAGTCGGGGTTGCGACAGCGAGGTGAGTAGAGGATACCGCGGGCATCGTCGTCGACGTTATTGACGCTCGTTCTGGAATCTCGCGCGCGACAGCTGTCGAACCGATCGGCGGGGATTCGCGATCGACGAATCGACTTCTCTCGCGACTTTCTTTACCCCGGCGCGAGATAAATCCCGATAAAAATCTGGGAATCGTTCGGTGGCGAGGAATGCGCGCCTCGAGAGCCGCTTTTTGACGAAGTTCGAGTTTTAACGTCGCAGGCACTAGCCTTTCTCGTAAGCTCAGAGATAAGTCCCGATAAACGTACAATAGGACGGATCGCTCGTAAATATCAATTACGTCGAGCAATGCGCGCCGGGTGTTTCCTAACGCGATAAAGCCTGACTCTACAATGTGCTCTTTGTGTCCAGAAACGTTCTGTTTCGTAGGCAATAAATGCGTTTAAAAAAAGTTTACGCAAGTACATAAGGGCCCGTACTCGGAGCCCTCTTGTCAATAAAAAGCGCCTCTAGAAGTGGACAATGCCTGTGTCCAGCAGAAGTTAGCGCTTGCTAAGCGCTTTGCGTTCATTGGATTATACTTTCAGATCTGTGCTGAAATAGAGCTATTCCTCTAGATCTATCCAATCAGCATAAAGCGCTTATTAAGCGCTAACTTCTGGAGAACACAGCCAATGAGCCTTGCGATTGGCCACTTTTAGTGGCGCTTTTATCGACAAAGTAGGACTCGGAGTATGGGCCAGAGGGTTACGTTGTCGACGGACTTTCGAAGCGTTTTGATTCGCACACAAAATAAGATGTTTCCAGGCGCGAGGAGCGCATTGTAAGCGAGGTTTAAATTTCCCCTTTCCAGCGTTCCCGCGCGAGACACGTGCGATTGTTCCCGGTCGTGCGCGGCCGCGACGATGCCTCGAGGCCCCTCGCGCGCGCGGCACGCGTCGTCGCGGGATAGACGCGCGGCGGAGCGGCAGTAATTCCGCGGGGTCAGGCCGAGAGTGCGGCCCAAATGCGGCGTCGCGCGGCGGGCGACGGCGCGAGGCGAGGATCGGCAGGGACGACACCGATGACCGTACGTTGCTGCGAGACGGCCGCGCGGGACGGGCCCCAGTGAGGAGAGATGTCGCAGACCGCGGACGCCGAAAGCGAGACGGGCTCCATTTGCGACGAGGAACGCGTCCGGAAGCTGTTCCAGGCATGCGACGGCGACGGCGACGGCTACATCGACAGGTGAGCGACTATTCGCTCCGACATTCACGCGGCGGGACGAGAGGAGCCGAGGAAGATAAGCGAGGGGGGAAAAAAAGAAGACAGTTACCTATAACCCATTTTGGGGCCCACCATTAGTAATCGAATTATTTGGATTGTTCGTAGCTCTACTCTGGGAAAAATTTTGACCGTTTTTTGATGTAGTTAAGCAACTTAACATTTCGGTTATTGCCACTTAAGTGAAAATTATCTTTGCGCTACTGAATATCGACAGAACTAATTGAGAGAATTGATTAGTATTACTTTAGTATCTTGGATATAGATAGAACAGCTAATTGTGATTTTTAGTTACGCGGGATAAAATTCGTAAAGGATTAGAGTTACGAACAATCTAAACAATTCGATCACTAATTGTGGGCCCCAAAATGGGTTGTAACTGACTTTTTTTCCCCAGAGTAGGCATTTTTTGGGCATTAGGCCCTGCTGGGGCATTATAGAGATAAAATAAGATAAAACGAGATAGCAAATTAGTAAAATTGGTATGGCTCAAATGTGATAGACACAAATTTGAAGGAAGAAAGGACTAAGAGCCGCGACAGGGTGTTAGTGTCTAAATATTTCATTCTACATTTAACAAGATAAATAAGATAATAAGATAAAGAAATGCCCAGTGGGCATTGGTGTACAAGATTTTGGTCAGCGGTTTCCCCCTCGGAGATAGGTTTTTAACAAGGTGTTGAGGCGTTCGTTTGAAACAACGCCGGGGCGAGTCTCCGCTACTGCGACCCGGTTTATACATTTTCTCTTAAAATTTACCCTGGAAATCGTGTAATCGTGGGACAACATGGCATACAATGTGCTCTTTGCGTCTAGAAACACTCTATTTTGTAGTCAATAAATACGTTTAAAAAATTTGCGTGAGTGGATAAATTGTATAATATATTATACACTACAATCGCATATTGTCGACAAATGTTTTAAGCGTTCGATTTCTTTATATAAAATGGAATGTTTCTAGATGCAGAGAGCAGATGAGACTTTATGAGAGTTTTGTGAAATTTTACCATACATTTTGCTACTAAAATGCCAGGAAACTCTGACAAAATTTTTGGAAACACCGCGTTGTTCCACGATTACATGATTTTCAGGGTAAATTTTGAGAAGAAATTCTCCCCGTTGTACGCTTTTGCATTTCCGGCTTGTGTATTTTACACGACAGTTGCAAGACGGGAGGAAACGCAGTTTTTCCCAAACAGGGGAAAAGGACGTCGTGGCGGACCCCGGGCGTGCCCGAGATCACCGCGGAATTTCGCTGCGGAATCGATGTATCCTCCCCCGCGATAAAAACACCGAGATAACCGTCGACAATCCTGCCGTGTCTGACTTTTTCCGGGTCGCCCGAGCGCGTGATATCGTCCTCCGGCGACGTTTATACCGCATTTCGCGCCGCGGGGCCGGATAAATTCCGCTCGGCGAATTCGGCGCGCGAATCCTCGCGCGATTGCACAATTAACGGTGGCTGGTGGCGCCCGGAATGGAAAGAGCTCGTTGACGAGACCGCGCCTGCCGCTGGCACGTACGTTTTAATTATTTCTTCAATTAATTAGAGCCGCTGCCCCCCCCCCTCTCTCTCTCTCTCTCACACACACACACACTCACCCGCTCACTCACTTTGCGGCGAACTCGCCCTGACTCTCGCGGGGATTTAACGAGAGACGACTGGCGTAGCGTATTTCTTTTTACCCCGCGCCAACTTCCGCGAGTACAACTCGTCGGAATCGAGCGAATTGCCGCGGCAATAAAGCGAGAGTGAGAGTAAGAGAGAGAGAGAGGGAGAGGGGGGAGGACCAATGATAAGTTTGCGATAATTTACGAGGACGAGCGTCTTCCGTGGAGTAAACGCGGACTCGAGAGCACTTTGTAACTCCACGTCGTGCTCCTTTTTATTTTGCCGTCCCGCGAGTCGATCTAGCAGACGTTCTCCTATCGATTCATTGTGCGGACTGTCCGTTTCGCAAGACCAACAATTTAGAAATAGCCTCTCTCTCCCTCATTCGACGGAGTCACAAAATCCGGA